TTATAAATGATAACCTATAATAGTCACTAGTTTAAAAAATTCAAATAATAGAGAAGGTAATGTAATAGGTCAACAAAATTTAATAATTACAGAAATTTTATAGTTGATGTTAATAATTCAACTATATAATATATGACTATCACTGAATTCTGTAAAAAGTACTTCACAATCAACTAGTATAATAATTTCTTAATTAATACCAAGTAATTTACAAATAATTAATATGATAATTTCTCAATTAATACTAAATAGTTTATAATCGACCAGTATAATAATTTTTAGTTAATATCTATACTTTAGTTAGCAATTATACCTATATTTCATTATTATCAGTGAAAGGAAATAAAATAGTGCTTACTTTCAAGTTATACAAGGATTAGCTAGATAGCTATAAAGATAATAGATAAGAGAATAATGACTAGTTAATCTACTAATGGTTAAGAAGAAAATCAAGATCTAATATAATAGTTTAAAGTTTTTGAATAAGTATATAAGATAAATTAAATTAGCATTATTTGAATAGTTAAAATAGGTTCTAATTACTTAACAGGAACTACCTTAATATAATTTTAATGATAATATATTATTAATTGAATAATAAATTTTATCCTATTATTTCTTTTGTACTATTATTTGAATAATATTTTTTTGCAATACAGTCAACTCTTATTATAATGAACTCTATATCTTAGACCTCAACTTCGCTATAAGGCTATAGTGAAGATTTTAAGAGATTTGATTGACCAATTCGCTATAACAAGAGTATTTTTATTATATTTGTTCAAAAAATTCGTTATATCAAGAGTTTGCTATATTAAGAGTTAACTGTACATTCAAGCAAAATCAATAAAAATATCAACTTAGATATTAAAAGTAGAAGCCAGTAAAACTATTAAAAAATATATTATAGTTATAGAAAAATTATAAAAAAAGTTAACTCATAATATAGATGAGTGAAATAAATAGAATTGTTAAATTAATTAAAGGATTACGATCAGAATTTATAATACTAGTACAAACTATAATATTAATAATAGTAAATTAAATAATTAAAAAGGTTAAATCAATTAAATTAGTTTATTCTATTAAATAGAACTGTTAATTTATTCGTTGATGTTAAGTTATATGCAATTATTATAAGGAGAAATAATATTAGCATAAATAAATATTATGATACAAATTACTTATACATTTAGCAACCAGATATTAAAATATCATTAATTGTAAATTAAACAAAGAATTATAAATTATAATTATTATTTTATTTAAGTTTACATATTATTATTTATTTATTAAAATCTTTTTTATTTTAATATTTTCAAAATATGACAAATTATATTAAATTTTTTTTTATTTAATAAATATTCTATATACTATAATAAAATTAATGATTAATTAATAGAAAAAGATAAAATAATATAATAAAAAATATTGTGCTATAAATAAAAATTTTCAAAAGTAATTATTAATAATCAGAATATAAATAGATTCATGATATTTACATTTTATAAATTTTGAAATATTATACTTTAAAATATTATATATTATAAACTTTAATATATTATATATTATAAGTCTTTAAAGTACTATATTTTAAAGTATTAGACTTAATTAACTTTTGATATATTATACATTATAAATTTTTAACATATTACATATACAGTGACTTTCATAATTATTGTATCACTTCATTTTTATTTTTAGATCATGATACCTAAATAATTATATGATTATAAGGCTAAAATTTTAAACCAATTTAAAGCCTGTAATCAGATTTTTAATATATTTAAATTTGAATATTACTTAATTTGTGGCTTTTTAAAAAATTTCTTTATATGTAATTTTTTCGTGATATAATACTTTTAGAATTAAAATTAATATAATAAAGATATGATCGTATGACGTGTTTTATACATATAAGTAAATTTAAATCAGTAGATCAATTTGTACGCCTTTCTTTTGTTTTTTTTTTTAAAAAAATATATTATAAAGAAGATTCTACTTTACCAAAGGGAACATATTTTTATTCTTGTTCAAGAAGGTTTATCAAGTCGTACAATTGCTTCTTGTAAAAATATAAGTTATGCTTCTGTAATAAGAATTAAACAAAGAAAAGAAGAAACAGGCAGCTTTGATGTTATTCCAAAACTAGGCACTTAAGAATACTTACAGAATATCATGATAGGAATATTACCAGGCTTATTAAGTCAGGTGAATGTACAAATGCTATTCAAATTCAAAAATCTTTAATTTCTAATGAAAATATTGTTATTTTACCAAATATTATTCGACGCTCATTGAAAAGGTAAGGTCTTGTAGCTAGAGTTAAAAAAAATCATTACTGTTCAAGAGACATAGAAAAGCATGAAAAAAATTTGCTCAAAAATATAAGAATTGAACTATAGAAGATTGGTGAAAAGTAGTGTGGTCAGATGAAAGTAAATTCTTAATTTTTAGCTCAGATGTGAGAGAGTGGTGTTAGAAAGATCCAAATTTACCTTTGCAACTACAGCATATTAAACTAACTGTATAGTTTGATGGAGGTTCTGTAATAATATAGGGCTGTATGTGTTCGTTTGGCATTGGAAAGTATTGTAAAATTGATGAAAGAATGGATGGAGAGTTATATAGAGAAATTTTAGAAAATGAGTTTTTAGGGACCTTTAGTGTGTGTGATTTGAATGTAAATGATGTCATTTTCTAACAGGATAATGATTCAAAACATACAACAAAGAAAACATACGAGTGGTTTGATGATAATAATATTAAAATTTTAGATTGGCTAGCACAATCATCAGACTTAAATCCCATTGAACATTTGTGAAATGAAATTGATCATTGTTTGTGACAGCTTTCTGATAATATTACTAGTGCAGAAGATTTGTGAAATAAGATACAATTAGTATAGAATCAAATTGATGCTGAATTTTGTTTAAAGCTAATTGATACTATGTCACAATGAGTTAAAGATGTACTTAAAGCTAATAAGAATATACGAGATGGTAATAGTTTTGTTAAAAAAAAATTAGAGTATAGTTTGTTAAAAAAAATTTAAAAAATTTATGTTTTTGATTTTATTTTTATATGCGTCAGAAGTATTGTACCATAAAATTTATGGTTATGAAAGAATTTTTTTTTAAAATTATAAATAAAAAGAAATTTGAATTTGAATATATTATAAAAGAAGACTCATATGATACATTAATTAAATCTGCAAATCGTTCAATCATCGAATTTTTATTTATTACAATCTAAAAATTACAAACGAAGTGGTATAATAATTATGGAAGTCACTGTATGTAAACTTTCAAAATACTATATATATGTAAATATTTTGATATTCTCTTAACTTTATTATAATATTATAGAATGTAAGATTTATATAATATTTCATTTATTAAATTACTAAAATAAATATTAGGTGATCTTAATTATATATTTGTTTATGTATCTATTAATATATAAAAGAGTGAAATAAATATTTTATATTATTAAAAAAAATTTAAAATTTTAAAATATATAGTAAAAAATGAAAAATGGGAGTTATGATATAAGATAACAAATTGTATAAGTTATATAAAGATAAAAAATTTTAAGGTAATATTAGAATAGATTATATTTTTCTAAATGGATCTAATTACTAATTTTATTAAAAAAAATACATTTTAATTATAATTTTTTTTACTTTTTATAAATTAGTTTTAAAATATTTTTTATAATAAATATAGTAATAAAAATAAAAATTTTTTATTTTAAAAATTTTCTTATTTTATTAATAAAATTTTTATTTTGGTTAATTTAACTTAATCTAATATCAATCTAAAAAGCTGCTAATCTGATTTGTTTTATTTAAAATTTTAAGCTATATTATTTAAATCATAATTTATTATTTTTATTATATAAAAACTAATTTTATACATACATTTATATATATTATTTATTATATAATTTCTTTATGAATTTCTTAATTTGAATTATCAATTTTTTTTAGCTAAAATAAAGTTAATAAGCATCCAGTATTAGTGAAATCATAACCGGTGATATAATAACAAATAAGAAATTTTCTTAATTGACATTTACATTTAACTAGTAACATACTAACTAATCCAAAAAAAAATAAAAATTTTAGTTAAGAATCGACAGATCACTTGAATGAATAATGAGTATTGTTTTATTTTGATTCTATCCTAATTTTGTCTAAATTGTTTTTATTTTTATTTTTATACTAACCGGTTAATTAACCGATTAACTTAATTTTACAAATTGGATCACCACAAAGTATACCCAAGATTATAACTTTCTTTGTATCCAAATAAATAAATAGCATTTTATTATTATTATTTTATTTATTTATTTTATTTATTCTCTTGTGATTTTTAGTTTAATGTAAAAAAAAAAAAAAAAAAAAATACCTATTAAAAAAGCAATAATCAAATATGGGTAATAAGACAAACAATACCAAAAAAAAAGATAAATTCCTATGAATACAAGTTACCACCACACCCTGTGCGATCTAATCCACTAAATTCGAAATTGTCTTTTTTTTTTTTTTTCTTTACATAAAAAGGTGTTCTGTAAACCTATTCATCAGAGTTGAATCGTATTTTACCCCAATTTAATTACACCTCCGCACTTATGTGAATAATATTGGCAAAGAAGGGAAGGGAAAAAAAAAAAAAATAAAATAAAAATAATGAAAAAAATGTTTTATAATACAGGGTTGTTAGATGTGATATATTTTATATGGGTAAAAACAACACATCAACAAACTTCTTTAGCTAATACTAGTCCCATAAGATAAGAAGATAATAAAAAAATATATTATGCACAATACAACATCTTTTAGAAATTTTAAGAAATACCAAAATGATTACAACCCATAAAACAGAATTTCTCTATCATTTAAGCATTTCAATATGAATAAATTTTTTTTTTTTTTTGTTTTTGTTCTTTAATGAACGAATTAGAGTTTTCAGAGTTTTTTAATGTTTCAATTTACTTCACCTCTGTACATTTGTTTCTCCATGGAACGCAGGCGCTCTTCTTGCAAGTTCAAATTCATTTCTATTTGTTAGAAGCTAAAATTAGTATTCATCCCCTTGCTTAGAGATTCTAATTAAGACTTACGGATCATCTTCATCAGGTGCAGGTCTTCGTATAGCTTGTCTTCCTATTTCTCCTGGCGTATATTGATGTCCACTAATTGAATCCCTGGCGGAATATATGGGCTCATATTCCTTTGCAAAACATTGATAAAAATTAATTCAAATGATAATAAACATAATTTTAATTCAAAAGGATGGATGAATCGAGAATATATTACCTTTAATTGGACTTTGAATCCTTCATTGGGATTCATACAAAATCTTCTATTTTGAACATAACTATACGCTTGCTGATAGTCCATCTTTACAGTTTCCATAACATATGCGACCACGAAAGCAGGACTTCTTGAAATTCCACCATTACAGTGAACAAAGACTCTACCTCCGTTATAAAGTGCATCATCAATGAATGCTTTTGCTTGTGGAAAATGGGGAATCAACCTTTCATTAGGAGAATCTTTCACCTCTATTTCAAAATATCGAAAATGTTCAGGAAATCTTGGTTTTAATAACATTTTCTCTGATGAATCTCGAATTGATACAATATGTGATATGTTATTTTGTTGTAACATTTCAAGGTCTTTTGAACAAGAATAGGGACCAAGAAACAATCCTGGGAGAATTTCTTGCATTTGTCGTCTCATTTCATATCTATCAAAAAGAATCCGCGTTATAAAAGTAAAAATATATAAATGTGAAATATAAAAAGAAATGTTCAAAACATATAATATAAGAATTTCTCACTTCCAGTCCAACACCACTTGAGTATTGTTCACAATGGCTTGAAAATTTTGCGTTAGAGTATTTTGTGCTGGAGTAGTTGGGTCGATCATCATGTTGTCTTCCATTTTTACGATGTAAAGTAAATTTCCAAGTTATAAAGCAAACGCGGAGAAAAAGCTTTTTTTTTTTTTTTTTTTTTTTTGTGGTCTTTTTATTTTATTTATTATTTACTTTTTTTTTTTGCGTCACGCAATTGGTATTTGACTAATAGAAATTAAATACACAATAAAAAAAAAAAAAATAAATAAATAAATGACCTTTTTTTTTAAAAAAAAAATCGACGAACTCGTTAAAAAGAGACCGTATACAATTTAAAATTCAGGACTCTAAGTATTGTATAACTTCGGCCTTAATGTATCACAATGACAATTTCTGTTTTTTCGGTTTTTGTCAACAAACGGCAGTCTAATTACGTAATTCACTCGTGATTTGTGGCAAATCTTTGCCATAATTTTTTCAACTCGATTTCATTTAAATCCAACATTGAAAAAATTCCTTTCTCGAAACATTGCTTCGTGATACCGAGTTATCAAAGAATCCGATAACACATTTATTAATACGCACGCAATAACCCTCTGCTGTTCCAGAAACCTTTTCCATAATTAACCATGATCTCATGTCCTTTTTTAATTTTTCCTACGCCTGCACAAATCCAAATTCCCATTTTTATTTCACCTGTTTGCGCATCAATAAATTCATGAAATGTACAATTTGGTCTTTGTAGAATGCCTCGATAATCGTTTACAAATCGTCCTTCATTACCTGTAAATATAAAAATGAAATGGAAATTCCCGTTTAAATAAATAAAAGTTGGTGTAGAGATCGTGTCATCAGAAGGTACCTTTTTTCCAACCGTCGATACAAAGTTCGCTGCAAAATCCCAATACATAATCACTTCCTTCTTCACCTCCTCTCGTAACTTTACCAGTATAACAAACGACAAGATTACATTCTTTTAAATCTTTGTTAGCAAATAATCCATATCCTGGATAAGCAGGATGATCATGTTGTGTTAATTTCTTTATTATAACGTTGGGATTTGGCATTGGAGGCGAGGGAATTATTGGAAGTAAATTGGAAGAAGTAAATGGATGATTTGGGTGTTTCGATATTGGAAGAGGAAATGATAAAGGATTTGGAGGTTTTAACGAAGGAGGAGAGAATTCATTTGAGGTTAGATAGATCACGTCAGAAGGCCAATTTCGAGGAATTGAAGCGGAATCTGCGAATTTCTTTCCCATATTTACGGTTTAATATCAATAGAGGAAGTTGAGAAAAATAAGATCGGCCATTGAAGTACATAAAAGCGACGAAATTTCTATTTATGGTGTAACGTGTGTAACGTGAGTATCATCAAATATGGCGTGTAATAGTGTGTTCTACTCTTCCATTATTATTCCAAACTTTTGATAGAATGAGTGAACGGTAAGTGTCAATCAATATTAAGAAGAGTTCTTTTTGAACTTGATTTCGAGATTTTCAAGTTAATTTTAAAAAAATTATAGTAAAGTTTTAAATAAATACTTTCCTCCAGACTTTGATCCAGGTACGAGTACTTTTTTTTTTTTTTTTTTTTTATACGAACCATATTTTGATAATTATAATTATTATGATTATATTTTCTTATATTTCAACTCTTAGCTGGTGAGTTTTTTTTTTTTTTCTTTGCTTCGGTCTAGAATGCTATAAACTCGAATCAATTTTTTAAGTTGTTAATTCTACATGAAATCTAGCTATACCAAGGAGAAAACAGGCTAAAGATGCTCAGCATAAAGTTCGTCTAATGACACCATATGCGATGAGGTGTGATACGTGTGGAGAATATATATATAAAGGAAAGAAATTTAATGCACGTAAAGAAACGGTAGAAGGGGAAACATATTATTCCATTAAAATATTTAGATTTTATATAAAGTGCCCAAGATGTTCGGCAGAAATTACATTTAAAACGGATCCAAAAAATACGGATTATGTGGCCGAGCATGGAGCACAACGTAATTTTGAACCATGGAGGGAAGAAAGAATAGCGGGGGAGGAAAGTAAATTATTAAAAGAATTGGAAGAAGAAAATAATCCGATGAAAGCATTGGAAAATCGGACTATTGATTCAAAAAGAGAGATGGATATTTTAGACGCTTTAGATGAGATCAGGACAAGAAATGCAAGGAATGAAAGAGTTGATGCCGATGCTTTATTAGATAAATTAGTTGAAGAAGATATAGTCAAAGAAAAATCACAAGAAGAATTATTGGAGGAGGAAGATGATAAATTAGCTAAATCAATCTTTCACGATGTTGATGGTGATGTTGTTAAAAGGGTTGCTGATGAAGAAGAACCGGACTTAAATCAATTACTCTCGGATTCCGCAAAGACTTTACTTTTACCTACATTTTCGTCTCCAGGAGGCCCTTCGTTAGTTAAACGAAAACATTCTGGATCGGATCTTGGAATAGTTGTCAAGAAAAAGAAAAGCGAAGCGACATCTACTCCCATTGTAAAATTTGAGTCTGGTATATCATCTGAATCCACGTCTACCCACATCAATCCGCTTGGCGGCTTATTAGGTGCATATGGATCCGACGATTCAGAATAAAAGCTTAAATGGGCGAGCTTTTGTAATTCTTTGATTGGAATATTTTAACAAGCATTTTTTTTTTTTTTATTTATTTCGTGTATTATTTGCGAACACATAATAACCAAATAATGAAAAATAATAAATTATTATTATTATTTTTTTTTTTTTTTTTACCAAAATACAATAATACTATTAATAAAAAATGTATTATAATTAACAAAAAATAAAATTACATTTCCTAAAATATAAAGGTACATTTTTCAAAAGAAAATGTCTCATTCAAAATAATAAAATAATAATCACACCAATTAAAATTTTTATGTAGGGTATGGGTATGTAAATGTTTTTCCTTTTTTTTTTTTAAAAAAAAAAAATAAAATTAAAATATAACATTCAACAACTCTTTTATAAAAAAAAAAAAAAGAGAGAGTTGTCCTCGTGTTCTCTAAAGTTTTCCTTGTAAAATTAATTCTATACTATTATTAATAAAATCTTTTCTTGATGACATGTCCATATTAAATAATATTGTCAATTGCTCTCGAACTAAAAAAATAAATAAGTAAATAAATAAACATTACGTTAACAAAAGGAAAAAAAAAAAAAACCACATAATAAATTTCAAAAAGGTTTTTAATTCGATACATACCTTGCTTCTTCGTAATACTCATTAGATTAGCATTTTTTAATATTTGTTTGATTTCAATTAATAATTCTTCATCTGTTGGACCGCCATCATTCGTATATGAACTCATGGGTCGAGAAGGTGGGGGTAAATATTCTAAAGGAGGACCCCTTAAATCATCACCAGCGTTACTATAAGCTCTACTCATTCTATTCGATTCAGATGAAGGATAACGTGGTACGGGACTTTTTGATCTCGCCCTCCTGTCGGCCGGAGCGCTTAAATTTGTGTCCCTGTAGTAATCTGCGGCCCCATGTTGACTCCCACCATATACGCTACCACCGCCTCCGTATTGACTTCCACCATATTGTGAAGCAGAATCATTATAACCACCACGTCCACTTGCTCTACTTCTGTGACTATAACCACTTGCGGCACTTTGTTTTGATTCATGACTTTCGGCAGTATTAACTTCCCACATTTCTTGTTCGTAATCTGCCCACCTTTTCCTTGGTATCATTTTTTCATCAAATTTCTCCTCTTCGGTCGTAATGATCTGTTTTTTACCCTTTTCGCCCACCACAACGCGTGTATTACCCCAACTAAAATCGTCAAAATGCCAGAATGAGTAAACGGGAATGAAAAATGAGAAGATTGGGAATGCCAATAAGTAGATGATCATCCATCCGATGTGTTGCCATTGTCTTTTCAATATGAAAATGATTGCCTGTAATCCATATACGGCCGCTATCATCGCAAGCGCGATAATTGGTAAACTTTGCCTGTCCGTTGCAACTACCCAGATCAAATATATGATATATACTACCGTGGATGGTAAAATAAATGTACCTAATAAGTCAATGACCACAACAAATCTCATGGAGAAACAACAGAACCCGCACATTTCAGGTAAAAACACGAGTTCCATGAGGTTATGTATGGTGGAATTAATCCATCGACGACGTTGTGAAAGAAGAATTGCCCATCGATCTGGTGCTGCCGTTTTGCACATGGCATCCGGCGTGAAAGTCATTTTATACTGAGGGAAATGTTTCATCATCAAGGTTGTAAGGTATCGATCCTCTCCCAAAGAGAGCAAATTCTTTTTATGCAGAGTATCCACGTGATTTTCTTGATAATCGTCGATGACGACATTTGATATGATCAATGGTGTGTTTTTAACCGGGGTTCTTATACGATACATGCAGAAACATCCTGGAAGGCAGGTAACCGATCCGAATAAGCTCTCGAATGCTTTGGCCAAATGATGAGAAATGTAATATTCATAAACTTGAATCATAGTCGTCCAAGATCCTTCTTCGTTAACCAGGGTCGTCTCTCCGCAAATTCCAATAATTCGGCCGTCGTGTAACATGCAAGAAATCATACGGTTAAGGGAGTCCGGCATCACCTCCGTATCAGCGTCCACCATGAGTACGTACTCATAAAAGCTTGGGTTCACTCCAATGACATTCTTCATTTGATGATAAATTTCCAATTCCAACGGGGTCATTTCCAGGTCAAAGTGAACCTTGTTCAAGAAGCTCATTAAAATAATTTGCGAATCACGCTTACCCCTATTACCCGGACGTGATTTTTCTGACGGTTTTCCTACTTTAACCACGACGATATAGGGAACGACGTGTCCTTCGTACTCGTATAATCCGGAATAAACCTTGCCATAATTGAGTTGTTGCATCCCCTCACCAACCGATTTAAACACTAGGGGTTCGGGATCCAGTTTGGGATCGACCCCTAAAATATCCAATACGATCCTTGGCGTAGGTCTATCGTTACCGGAACCGACGATCATACCATCAGCGATAAAGAACAAAAGTTTGCGCTTATCATCATAAGTGAGTGCTGCCAAAGAATCCATCGTTCTCTTCAAAGAATCTTCGCCTTCTGTATAACAAGGAACTTGACAAATGACAAATTTATCATGATCCTCGGGCTTTCTTCTTGCCCCCAATTGCAACGCAGCCAAGAATTTAACAAGAACGACCGCGCACATGACGCAAGCGGCTACCAACAAGACGTAATTATTGAATTGACATTTGAATGAATCTCTGAAATCAATTTTTCCAACGTAAAAGACCGCATCCAAACATTGCAAGTTGAGTTGTTTTCGGACCGGATCAATATATTCATCCATGTTACTGTTAAAGATTTTACTAAAATCGCCACCGGGTTGTTTATCAAAGGGAACTTCTATGGCATCATCCAAATAACGATAGTTTGGCACGTTGGCAGGTGGTCTGCTAGCGTATTGAGCATGTCTGTCGGCCGTGGTGAAATATATCGTTAAATCATAGATTTTATCATTGATGATTCCCCATTTACGACCTTGATCAGCCTGGGCCGCAACCTCTTTTTTAGAATAAACAACGTCCGCCTTAAGTCCTCCATTAGCACTCACAGCAGTTAGGAAACTATCCCAATACCACCTGTTGCTTGAAAGGCTGGGCGTTTTAATGGTTGAACGTGGGCCGGAGTCGTGAATAAACGATCCAGGAACTTGATCATCGGTGCCATTTGAATTGTACTCGACAGTCACGAGCGCTAAATCGGCAGGGTTGATTAATTCCCCACAGACGTCGGGCTCTCCCAGAGGGATCGGGATCATGTATGTCACATCTTTGCCGGCGTAAGGTTCCATCTGTGATAACCCTGCGGTATGCCCTGGAGCCCCCCTTGCATGATTGGTCTTGTGAAATTTGGATAGATCATAAACTTTACCCCTAACGCTCACCCAAAAATCATCATCCCCTTGATGTGTTGAAACTTCTTCCGTCTTATAAACCTTGTCCTTGTTAGGGCAGATCAGATCTCCGAAAGCAATGATGTAAAAGATGATAAAAGCCGAAAGCAGGAAAATGAGAAGACAAAGGGTGAACTTTTCACGCCAAGCCATTCGTACATCCTCACGTTTCATTTTACCAACCCAAGAAAGAAGGAAGGAAGGGATCCACCACGTGCATAACCAAACGAAGCGAACCCACCAAATTCGAGTTCTGGTGGTCGGTACTTCTTCGATCTCTTCCTTTAAATCACCTTCCTTATTATCTGCTTCAGCAAGCCCTCTCTGTCCTCCCGTGTTGCCATAACCATCGCTGGCCTTCCAATCACTTCCCCACATGCTTCCCTCATCATCCTCGGCAAGTTGAGCACCTCCAGCTTTTGAAAATTCGTCCTCACTATCAACGTAACTATCTTCATAATAACCGGTTTCGCTGCTAGAATAATTCGCGCCACCGCTCCTCGGTAAAAGGCGATCCGCGGAACTCGTGGCGGAGGCCGTGTTGATGCCGCCCCGACTACCATCATGAGGTCCCCCGACCAAACTATCATCATCTCGAAGCTTAGACTTGGCACGCTCCTCCTTCTCCGCGGCTCTAAGCGAATCCTCCAATTCCTTCCATATCGGATCGGAAAGCAAAACGGTTTTCCGACCCATCGCCATTTGATTCTCACCCCAACCGCTTATGGTAGCAAAAGTCTCGACCTTTTGTTGAGGGTTTCTGGAAGGTTCCAGGTTCAGTGAAGCAATGATCGTCTCGTAACGAGTCAGGAAATCTTCAAAGGTATACTGAGCGGTATATTCCACGCGTTTTCTTACGATGATGTCACGAATCAAGAAACTCCTGACCTGGGCTTTTACGCGTTTTGCGTCAAACACGTTAGGCTCGTTAGCGTCGTTTGGACGAATTTGAAACACATTCCACATCCTCGTCTCTTTCAGGGTATCAATTAATTGGTTGAGAGTAGAATAAAGTTGGGTTGCTACGGTGGCAACCTGAATCTTTTTCTTTGAACTATGACGATCGTCCGAGGCCTTTTCCTCCACCTTTCCTGAATTTGAGCCACCGGCGTTGCTCTTCTTACGTTTCATGGAAGGAGCTCTCATCGGTTTGGTGGGTAACTGAGCTTTAACGACGGTATTCTCATTCTTTGGATGACTTTCAATAGCCAAAGCGGGTCCATTAAATAACTTTCTTAGGAAAGAATTATTCGTATCGTAAAATAAATTTATAAAATCGGGACTTAAATTGTCGAGATTTTTATCAATGAATTGATCAATGGTGTAAGTTACTGGACCGGCGAAATGATTCACACCGAACGCCCCAGATTTCGAAAAGATCTTTGAGGTGGAAGGATTACTGATGAAGGACGAATGACTCGAGAAAGAATTTTGTAAAGTGGAAAGTAATTTTGAATCATCAGAAGGTTCTTCACCACTCTGAACCTTGGCGCATTCGACATCTAGTAACGAGATCAAACCACCGCTTACGATATTTGAAGAACCCGAGGAACCCAAACTTTTTCTCGCGCCATCAGATTGATCACCACGTAATAATTCCACGCACCCGGAATTATCCATGGTAGAAACATTAGGCAAGGGGACCCCATCTTGAGTGATCTCATTATTCAAACCAACGGTATCATCAAAAATTTGCTGTAGTACAAAATTTTCCACCTCTTCAGTGGCAAAGTTCAAACAAAATTGTTCAAAAGAATTATTTGCAAAATTTTGATAACCAGGTTGATCCAACAAACCGATAAAATTTGGGGGTTCATCGGACTGGATTAATTTTGAATTTATATGTTCAACGATCCACGTGAATAAGATAGAATAAAGGGCACTGGCCAAAGCATCACGTTGTTCCGAGGCCGCCTCGGCATTTAAAAACACGGTGCATAATTCTTTTCCAATGTACTTTGTTTTATAAGTTAAGGTTTGTTTTAATTTAAACGCTGGCACACCGAGGTATTGAGCGACCAAATCTAAAATGTGATGATTTTTTATGTCAGCCGCTTCATCCTTTGCTTTACCATGACTAACGAATTCAATATTTCCAAGTAATAAAATAGCGGAAAGGATCTGCCAAATTTGCATGACGGTCCTTGATTTGAATCCAAGAGTCTTGAGCGAAGATCTTAAATCATCCATTTGAATCGAATCATCAACGTCAGGAATTTTATAACATTTCGATTGAGCCAAGTAATTATATTGTTGAGGTTCCAATAAGTTTAATTGAGATTTTTCTTCAGGAGTGAAACCAGACAATAAATAATAAAAAACGTGATAAGTTCTTTCGTTCGAAGGTATTTCAGTTACCCTCGCCTTATCGAAACAATAAGTTAGGGCCTTTGCACCAACGATTCTACCGCGCTCATTAAATTGTAATTCAAGATATTTCCCAAAACGGGAAGCATTAATGTTCTGTTTGGTTTTTGAGTTACCGAAAGCTTCGAGAATGATTTGAGCATTTTGTATTTGATTGGCAACTTTAGATTCTTTTTTTGTATGAGTTGACAAGAGTAATAATTGTTGTAACAAATGTCCTTGAGTCGCGGTCTTGCCTGATCCAGTTATACCACTAATTAACGGGGGGAGAGAAAGGGAAATTCGTCAGCACACATTTCACGATACCATACAAGCACCCACACGTAATTACCTAAATATGACGGATTGATCTTCGGCCGATCTCCTCATGTGCAAATAAACTTTAGCGGCCAACTCGTAAATGTGAGGTTGTAAAGCGGACTTGTTACCCGAAGTGTCCTTGTAAAATTGGTCAGCATACTCTTTTGCTGAGGCATCGTTCATACAACCCAAACTTTTATTAGGATTAACTACGACTAAAGAAGAAGAAAGTCTAGTATAAGGTAAGTCGGCTTTAAAACGAGCTTGTAGTAAGGAGATTATCTCGTCCTCATTTGGTGGAGCCGTCGTGTTTGATAAAAGTTGTATTAAGTCGACTTGGTCATCCACCGAGGAGGAAGCTCCCAAGTGTTCTGAGCCGTGATTCTTTTTTGTTTTCCCCATATTATTATATTAATATTTTTTTTTTTGTTGGGGAAAATTTTTTTGCGTACTTATTATTAAGACAATATTAATTATTATTACTAATGATTACTATGAAATTTTTTTCTTTTTTCTTTTTTTTTGTTTCTATATCGTATCAATGTCCATAAAATTATATGAAAAAAAAATTTAGATTTTGTTTTTGTTTTTTTTTTTTGTTTTTTTGGTAGCTTTTTTTTTTTTTTAATTAAAAAAAAACCACACTCGTTCCTCTTATTATTACCCTCTTATTCTCTACGCCCAATTGAAAATAAATGAATAATAAATTACATATATTATTACAAAAAAATAAATGAAAAAAAAAGGGCTAGGATAGAGGCTAGGAAAGAAAAAAAAAAGGAAGAGTAAGAAGAAAAATGTAAACGAAGAGTTTTGCTAAGAGTAAAAAAAAAAAAAGCAGAGACGTGCAAGTAATAAATTTAATACATGAATAATTAAAAGGACATAATCTACGATATATATTTAGATATGTTGTAACTGAGGAAAATATATATAAAATATATATATGAAAAAAAAAAAAATAAGTGATGAAGGTAACTCGCTCGCAATAAAATCCGTGTTACCGATATAGAAGGGTAAAATAAGTTAGAGAAACAATTTATATTGTGACTAGAACGTTAAATAACAATATAAATAGTAATTTTATATGATTTACACAGGAGTATGTTCACATATTTAACAACAGGCATGCACGAATTTTTTTTTTTTTTTTTATATTGACCTTTTGAAGTATAAATAGAATAAAGATGATATTCCTTTTTTCCTCCTTTGAATTTTTTAAAAAAGAAAATTTATAGGTAGGGATGAACAGAGTGTAAATACCAAAAATAAATTCATGGAGAATTTTGATTACATCAAACAAGTTTCTAATTTAAGATACTAATAAAGATTGTTTTCTGAAATTAGACATTGGCTGAATGACATCGCCACAATACGATATATTTAATGATCGGGCATACCAGAACTGGAACAAATATAAGAATATAAATAGTAGTGATATCGCATAGCTTAAAAAAACCAGGCTTTTGTTCCTTTTTAATTTCCGTTTGTACACATTCTTTGTTTTTTTAATCTCTCGTTTTCATGTACAAAGTTAATCTTGACCCGAAATTCCTAACCCGAAATTCCGATATTGCAATGATTTTCACGTGACCACCAACGCGGATATGATTGGGTTTGTCATGTACCGCGGGAGTTCTGGTAACATCGGGAAGATCCTATTATGATCGTAATGGATAACGCTATACCTAATCCGGTATTCCTCATTAACATTGTGGTTGTACAAAATAAAAAAATATAAATACCAGGGAGAAAAAAAAAAAAAACCTGTTGGGTTTATACATAACTAGTTTCAGAACATGAAATTGCAAACAATAACAATCATCATATATGCGGTTAACATGTTTTCGTTTAAACAAGTTTCAGCGGCAAGATGTTGGGATTTACCAGATTTTTTAAGTGATGCAAAGAAATCCGTAGATTGCGAGACAAAAACCATCAAAACCATCAACCCGAAAGCATTGACCGACATAAACCTAAATCAAGTAACTTCCATGTTTGATATAAAGTTTAATTGCCTAGCTAATGATCAGGTTATATGTGATAAGGTATTAAAAACTTATAATAAAGCGGGGGAGATAATAAGTTCAACCTTGACGTTAAATACTCCGATAACGATCAATGCAACGTTCGGAGATTTGTGCGGTCCAACTTGCGGAACGGGTGGGATAGGACCGTTAGGGGCAGCGGGACCGGCGAGATTAATCGAGATGGAGGATGATGATGGTTTGATAAGGTTATACCCTCAAGCCTTGATAAAACAATTTCAATTAAAGAAAGCTCCCGAATTTTCCGAATTTGATATAAATGCGGGTTTTAATTTGAGGGCAAACTTTTGGTTTGATGGTGACCCACAAATCCTTCCCAATCAAACGGACCTTATTTTGGTCGTCGTTCATGAAATGATTCATGGGTTAGGGTTTGCCAACTCTTGGAGGTATCCATTTTCATTGAACTCGAATGTTCGAATAGATTTCATCACACCCATCATATTAGCCGATGAATCGAGTGATAAGATAACGTTTGAAGGGTTTCAAGAATTGGCATTTGATAGGTATTTGGTATTCTTACCATCAGGTAAACCTCTTACGTCAATAACTACGGAATTAAATAAATTTGGTGGTGGTAAAGGTGCAAAATTTTCATCCGCAGATGAATTTTTGAATAAATGGTTCCAATCGGAGCAGTACGAGTTGGCCAAATCAGTTTACGTGGCCGCGACGACTCCGCTTGGTATAGGTTTTTTACCGAGAGGTTTTTCGGATTTAAATAACGCGATCCCATTGGAGACCTCAATCAAATATAAGGTCGGTTCAAGCATCGGTCATTTGGATTCAACCACTTTTAATAATACTGCGGATTTCCTGATGAAATATGTCGCCATTAGAGGTGTGACTCATCAGAATGTCTCGCAAATTAATGGGAATCACAGTGAAATTATTGGTCCCGCCACAAAAAGTATTTTGGAATCCCTTGGTTTTTCTTCCGAAAATAATCTGAATCCTTATAGGCCCAAAATTGTTGAATCAAATGATGCTTCTAAAATCATAAAACTTGTAACGTCTCTCACCTTAACTCTCTTCTCTTGTATCATAATTTTAATCTTATAATCATGTATTTATTAAAAACCATGTCATAATTTTTTGGTTTACGTATTCTCAAACAAGTTTAACAAGTGTTTTTTATTTATGAAACCCGAGGGATGGGCGTTTCACCATAAAAGGGGGGCAGTGTTTAAGGCAATATTCCGGGTGATGACATTTTTATAAATAGTTATCCAGTTATAAATATAATCCTTTGATGTAAATAATTTAACCATTCTTGATTGAGTTTAATTGATAAATTCGATTATTTATAGTGAAAAGGTTAGACAATGTTGTCACGAGGACATGGTTGGGGCGGAAATAACAGGGACGGGTCGGGACAAACTCAAATTTTGCTTGGTCATAGAAAATGTACAAATCTATGATGTTAGGAAGGAATTACAACATTATCAAGTTAAGATGCTTTATTTAATCGCTCTTGTCAACACTTTGTAATTTTTAATCCTTGATTAATTATCAAAACTCGAAATAATAGAATTATCTACCTATATTTCCTGGTGTTGATTCGATTCCTATGTGAAAAAAAAAAAATTATATGTAAAAAAATAATGGAAGATGGAGCCGAAAATAAGCCACGGACGTCTTTGCACAGCCCAACCAACAATCAACGCTACATATTTACGTATGGCTAATCCTTCATAACTTTCGAATTTCATGAAATTACTAGTAATTTACTCTTTCCTACAATTATTTCTGTCAATTTATGGATTTTATAATAAAATAGTGTGTATTTTATATATATTTACTTCAAACTTCTTAACTCATCAGCTAAAACTGTGTAAGATTTTTTTAGCAATTATGCTGGTCTCGTTACTTTCGATCCAACAGTTTTTCCCAAGCAACATTTCCAATTGGTCATATGTTTGCGAGCCACAGCATAAAGTTACCAAATAGATGAGGCGCAGTGTCACCTTTTTATTTCGTGTTTTATTAAATGAATTACAAAGAGGAAGAGAAAAGAAATATCAATGACGACAATATCACTTTTGTTATATAACTGTTAAGCGTCCCTCACATCCATTACATCACAAATGAAACCTGGCTCTGAAATATCTGTTAGGATTATATGGTAGAGTTTGCCGATAGAATAATCAATCCGAAGCTGTTTACAATTCAAATTTGGGTATCACATCGAAGGGAAACTAGTAGTTTCCATACATACCTTGAGGGCTGCAAGCGACTTCAAAGTCTTGACACGATGTAATAACAGAAAATGACACCATATCATTGTTTAGTGAGAAAAAGCAGATCATGTGTCAAAATGGCCAAAATACGCGAAATTAACTATTTCTGATATAAATTTTGTATAAATCTATACTTATAAAGATTTCAAATAAATAATTTATTAAAAAAAAAAAAAAAAAAAATGAGTGGATAATATAAATTAATGTCTCAAATTTAACCTAAACATTTAAATTTAATGTGAATAATTTGAATTATAATACAAGATAAAATTTTTAAATAAAAAATAAAGTTTACACGGGATGTATGTACCCGGATCATGTGACATTTATATTTGTCACCGGTGACACGCCCCTCCGCCTTTTAGTTTTTACTATTTATTCCAGGGACAGAGGAAAATTATATTCGTCACTCCTTATCCGTCACATAGTCATCACACGGGTATTTTCTTAATTTCTTAATGCCGGCGAAAATAATGTAATGCCGGTAATGACACGTGATCCGCGTACAATACATCCGTGTACAAATAGAAATTTCTAAAATAATAATATCTTGTAATTAAAAAATTTATAATTTTAATAAAATTTTATTTTATAAATTTATTATATTTTACAAAATATTTAAATTAATTGTAATATTATATATTAAGTAGCATAGCGGGCTTTCGTTGTGATTGGCTAATTTTGCAGATCATTTTTTATTATTGCTAAAATTTTATTGGTTGACAAGATCATGTGATAGATCATGTGATTTCATAATGATTAATTAAAATAGTTAATCAAAAAATAGTTAATTAAAATACAAATAAAATAAATTAAAATGTAAATTAAATATAATTTAGCCCAAATAAAAAAGTATTAAATAATTTTTTTATTTATAAAAATTTTTTAATTTTATTGAATTGCAAATTAAACTTATATTTGACCAGTAGCATAGCGGGCTTAAATTTGATTGGTTGATCTTTAAAATTATCGTCACATAGTAAATTCTTATAAAAATGATGATTATCTAACTTTAAATGGATTGGTAGCTACATAAACGAATTGGCAGAAGGTGTGACAAAAAAATTCTAAATATACTTTCTGTTTATATACAGTTAAAATAATTCAAGAAACGGTGAGATAATTCAGAAACTATCTAAGAAACGATTATTTTATTCTGTTATAATAGATACAAAGAAAAAAAGAAATACAAAGCATTAAAACTAAATATACTAGAACAACTAGTTGAAAATGCAAAAATGTCAAATGTATGGGTTATAAATTCACATAAGCCAGTATACAATAGTGCTGTATAATTAATATTGTATAACAAAAAAGCATATTAGTGAAAAGCAGCTTCAGATTTTAAGAAGATTATGAAACAAAATGTCTACACAAGAAACCCATCATGAAGATCCAACTCTTTCTAATGAGAAAAAGGGAAAAAGAAAGACTTGACATTGTAATTTAAAGGACCAGGGGGATATCATCTGTGATTATGAACAGCATGACGCATCTATCATATCTGATAAAGTAATGATACCAAGTTTAAGTCAATATTTGAACTTGATTGACAAGGCTTTGTGCTGAAAACATTATAATAAATTAATAGTAAATGCAAAAAAATCTAAAGCTAACAATATATGTTCGCATCCAAAACACCAGATCTATATTTCTATAGCTTGACATGATACAGAAACAAAGAATATCAAAAAGGTTCTAGAACAATTGATCAAATTCTTTAAATTACCACAAGAGGCATGGATGTGTTACCATTGTTTATATAAAACTGATAATGATTCAGAATATATTAACTCATCTAATTATCCACCATTACCAGAAAGAATTTTAAAAGAGAAAATAACAAAATTTCAAGGTAGATCATATGTTTTACAAAACGATATTATTTACTCTCAATCTGAATTTTAGGAATTGGAGTTTGCATATCATGAAGTATATGCAAAACTCAACGAAGCAAAGCTAGGTAAGCAAATAATATTTTATTTATTATTAGATTCTCGATTATTTTATTAACAACCATTATGACAGATTAGCAGATTAACATATGAAATTTAAATTACATTATATAATAATTATCCTTTAAAGTTGATTCCTCTCAGTAAAAAAATTAAATTAATGGTAGGGGTGTTGTATACAAGGTAACGTATATATAATAAAAGACCCATTCTCAATCTGAAAGAGTTCAAGAAAATACTTAAGAAAGCTGAACTGTCATTAAAAGACTTTTTTAATCAATTAGTAGTCAGAACTAACCCACAAGATAAGAACCATATGACTAACGAAAAAAATAAGAAAAGATTAGTTTCATTTTGCTATTTTCTAGCAGGCTTCAATAATAAATTTATTAATAGAGTTAAGGTGGATATTGGATTTTTACTAGATGCATCTGGAGTATCTTCATTGGCAATAGATACCTTAACTGGTGCAAGTTTAACGATAAGATGTGAAACTATTGCAAAGCAAAAAATTTGATATATAGAAGCTCATACAGTAACGGTGAGAAGGTTTTTATCAGAAAACGTAGGTATTAAACATTTATTTTTTTTAAATTGGTAACTAATCTGACTGTATATATGTAATCTTTTAACAGATCAAAAGCTTAGTTATTCTCAATGTAGATAATTTTCACAATATTCACGAATATCATTATAGTAACACAATAACTACATATGAAATCTTCCATTTTATTACAATACTCTTGAAAGCCTTATCAGAAATGCTATATATTCCATTTAATAATCCTAACCAAGAAAAAAGTATTCATAATGAAAAGGGTGTTGATTCAGATATTGTTATAGAGAATGTATATTCATCTTTCTTTTCTTATTTATGACTAAATTATATAGGACAAAAGTAAACAAGAAAAAAGTATTCATAACGAAAAGGGTGTTGATTCAAATATTATTATAGAGAATGTATATTCATCTTTCTTTTCTTATTTATGACTAAGTTATGTAGGACAAAAATAAACATTTATTGACTTAATGTCTATATAAGAAATCCATGACAAGCAAATTGAACATCTCTTAATTCACAGCTACGATGATAGGATTGAATAACATTAGACTGATCGAAGCATGGAAATCACGAAACTTGTTAATCTAAAAGAAGATTCTCTTCATTTAACTGAAGACTATGTAAATGCTTTTAGATGCTTGATGAATACACTTGAAGCAGGAACTTATATGGAAACACGTATTTTAGTAGCACCTATGAATTATTCTGAACAACTTCATATATGACGTGCTATTACCCATCATATCAAATCTGGAGATTCTTCCAGAATATTGAAGCAAATTTTGCATATTGTCCTAATGATCAGACCTTTACATGTATTCTTAAATAGTCATGAAACAGTCTTTCTTTTAAATTATCATTTTTTTAATTTGCTTATTCATGAAGTGTTTGGATATAATAAGGTATTGGCAAAAAGCCAAAACCTTATAAAATCAATTTGATATTAGAAATAATGTTTCAAAGCTAGTCTTAAGTATATTCTATAATTATATGGAAATTTGAATATTTTAAAAATCTGGAAGCAAGATATCTTATCAATTTATTAGATAATATTATTCCATTGATTTTGAATTTTATTTCATTATATTTCGCAGTAGAGATTGGCAAGCATAAATAAAAGCGATATTTCGCATATGGACTGTTTTTTATCAATATCAATGTAGACACTATAATAAATTGCTATTGATGTTTTTAAGTGATATGTTTTATTAGACTAATATAAATCATCTTATTTTAAGATCTCTTACGGATTTCATTCACATTTTTAATGATTATTTTGTGGAAAATTTTCATAGCTCACTTCGATGGCAAATACAAAAATCAAATACAGTAAAGCAGATTATTCAAGAAACACAAATAATCGATCAGATGCGTGGTGGTAATTCCTTCATAAAAGTGTTTTCTGAGAATCATAATATTAGATATTCAGCAAAATAGTTAGAATATCTTAAAAAACGTATTTCAATTTTTCTTTTAAATCTTTTTACAAATGTTTATTAGAATCTTGGTAAATCAAAAGCTATTTTGTCTAACACAAGTTCAAAATCTAAAATATATGAGCTTTTAACACTTAGAGTTCAAGTTAATATAAAAATATTATCAATGGCTTGGAATACAGCATATTCTCTACAAAAAGATAAATTTTGTGACTTAGAAGGCTATATAGATTTTTGTAAGGTAAGTTGTGTTCTGATTTGTAAACATGCTTATCATTTCGAATGCTTTTTATTTAAACTAGAAAGTTAATGCTGATATTGTATTGAGTATCTCATAAGTAGAATTGAAACAAATTGTAAAGCTTTTCAAAAATCTTTAAATTCTTTGGGTACACGAGTAAAAAATGAGGGGATAGATGAAATGGATATTGATGAAACTAGTGATGATACTAATACTAGTGATGAAGGTTTTTTATTAGATAGAAATATTGATCTTAATAATGTGTATTTACTTTTTGAGAAGGTCATGAATGCTTTAACAAATGCACAATTTGAAGCTTTAGTTACTGGTTAGATATAAGTGTAGTTTGCAATTCAATAAAATTAAAAAATTTTTATAAATAAAAAAATTATTTAATACTTTTTTATTTGGGCTAAATTATATTTAATTTACATTTTAATTTATTTTATTTGTATTTTAATTAACTATTTTTTGATTAACTATTTTAATTAATCATTATGAAATCACATGATCTATCACATGATCTTGTCAACCAATAAAATTTTAGCAATAATAAAAAATGATCTGCAAAATTAGCCAATCACAACGAAAGCCCGCTATGCTTATTTGGTATATTCCTGAACTGGTAAAAAAAAAAAAACTTTTTTTCGAACCAACTCGTGAACCTATTTTTTATGCAAAAATCATTTAACATGACCGATCCAACTAATATTCTTAACATTGTTAACGGTCTCGCTTCAGAAACTAGCAAATTGGATGATGGGGAATTGGCTTGTTTATTTAAGTATTTCACCAAGGATACTACTAATTTGGCTAATGTAGAGAAATGTCTTGTGGCATGCCCAAACAATAATACTAAGCTTCTATACCTAAGGGAGTTATTAAAGGATGCTAGTTCTGGTATTTCCTTACGATTCGTCAGCGCCATGTCATATTTGCAATTAACACCGAGTACTTACTTATTTTTATGCTTTTCTGTTTGATAATATCAAATATCTCTACACTCTTCTTTTGCTATCAATTCGTTTATTTATGCAGAGACTCCCAGAATTTGGGATGAAGGTCTGAATAGTTATTGGAGTGCAATAACAGCTTTAGAAATTAATGAAGAGGAATCATTTCTTGATCTACCCAATGGCGTGGAGATCCATATAAACCTTTAACTTTGCTCATCCGTAAATGCTACCGAGATCTGGCAAGTGTCGTCCTTGATGATAATGTACGAAGAATACGTATCACCGGTAATCCGGGAATTGGAAAAACATATTTCGGATATTACCTACTATATCTGCTTGCACGACAAGGAAGAACTATTTTATACGAAAGTGTTGCTGGGCGAGCTTCATACGTTTTTGATGGAGAAGAAACCTTTCTTACTTTTGATAAGATCATTACCCATTCGTACAAATCCAGAAGAGATGTTTGGTACATCGTAGATGGAATGGAACCAGAGGAAGTTAAAGCTAAGACAATTCTTGTCTGTTCGCCCAAAAAGTCTCACTATGCGAACTTTGATAAGTATCCTCTTGCAACAATACGGTTAATGCCAGAATGGAGTTTAGATGAGATCCATAAATGCAGAGATAAAATGTACCCTGATACCGATATAAAGAAGGTAGATAAGTTATTTTCTATGTGGGGAGGGATCCCTAGGTTTGTTCTGGAGAAGGCCGATGATTATGTTCAGCAACAAAAACTCATAAATGCAGTTGAAATATGCGGCGAGAAGATATTTGATTATATTGGCGGACATGAAGCTGGTCCGGAAATAAGCCACATCCTCATTCATCTCTGGACGAACCCCCCTACCGAGGAAGAGGACAAAAATATAGATGATGATGTTAATGGACAAGTTGAATATGTTAGAGAAATTCCCTATACTCAGCAAATGTATTATTTTGCGTCTGATTATGTAGGTGGATTAGTGACTGAGAAATTTAAACAAAACATATTGGAAAAATTGCTTAGAGATATTGAAGTAAGCTTGTTAACGGGTAAAAGCGATCAATTCTTGGGTTGCTGTTTTTGAACAGATTGCTCACAGGATGTTGCGAGGAGGAGGAAATTTCAAATATCGTTCTTTAGAATCTAAAGATGGAGATCTATATCAACCATTTGCCAAGCAAGAAGATGTACTCATATTTTCTGATATTGGAAACATTGAAAATGACAAGTACTATCAGCCAGAAATTAAAAATTTTCCATCAATTGATGCGATTTGTGCTCCCAACATTCTTTTACAAATGACCACTTCTATCTTACATCCAATTAAGATGGTTGGGTTGGATAAACTTCGTGATAAGTTAGCAAAGGAAGGCGACATTCACTTTTATTTTGTTGTACCGGCACAGTTATATGATCGTTACCAAAAGCAGAGGTTTGTTACTACCAAAGAAAATAATGTCCGGAAATTGTCACCTTGGATTAAACAACAAGTTAAGCAATATGTTTTGAGTATTGACTTGAGTGGAACGTCAGTCCCATCAAGACCATCAGGGTCATCAGTGCCATCAGCAAGATCATCAGTGCAATCAGGGTCATCAGCAACAGCAATGTCATCGATGCAATCACCAACACCAAAAAGAGGAAAAGGGAGAGGAAGAGGAAGACCACCAAAAAATTGATAGTAAGCTTTTTATCATTATCATTATAAGTGGGTTAAAATGGATTGTTAAAGTTAGTCATGTATAGTGCACACTATTTTCTAATAAAGCATTTCTATTAAGAAAAAATGAATTTGGAAAAATAAAACATAAAACGTGTTTCTGAGAAGTGTCGCTCACGTGATGATGATATAATAAAATTGTGTCAGTCTCATAGTTTAGACTAAAATTAGTGTTTAACACATCGGGTTTATCAACCAGCAAATAAAACGCCCTTGAACACTATTAAAATTGACTTCTGCATGATTTTTAACATGCATACATTGGAAATTAAAGTTTGATTTATTGACTGTCAAATTTCACCAACTGAAAAAGTTTGTGTAAACCTTTCTGAATTATGGATCAACGTTACGAAGCAATAATCTTACTCCCGCGGTCTAAATATATCATATAAAAAAAAAATCGATCTAAATAAAATTTTTGGCGCGATTTGCGGTAATGTTTACCCAATATAAAAAGTCACGTGAAAGCGATAGTTGAATTAATTTACCCCAGTATCACCAACAATTTTATAAGTAAAATTTCACCCCCATGTGACCGGCGACATATAATGGGCGTGAAAAAAAATTAAAATATTCTCAGTTCCCGGAATACTTATGTGACAAATATGGGGGTGAAAAAATTGTTGGTGATCTGGAAAAGCTAGTTGAATTACAACATTATGAATGAAATAATAAAAATAATAATATTTAGTGATAGATTATATTACATAAAAATAAAAGATAGTACAAAAATATTTACAAAGTAAAAAATATATAGATAAAATTTAAAATCTAAGTTGATTAACAATTTATGATAAATGTAAATACAAATCTGATCTATCAGTGAGAATCATCAATGTATTACAAGTAAATCTATCTTTATCTTTAGAGGAAGTCACCATGACAATAATTGTGGTTAAAAAAGTATCTCATCTATCTCTTGTATAATAAATGATCCTAAGATTTTAGAAATTTTATTAAATGATATTCATTAGATATTATAAATTTCATTAAATTTTATTAAAACATATCTATTTTTCTACTGCTCAAGTTTGCATTAAATAACAAATGGGATATTTGAAATACATCAACATATATCTTTCCTTTATCACCATAACTTCTATTTAAAATACAGTAGCGGTCATAAGTATCCGACCGCCTGAGATCGTCCAAAATTATTATATAACTACCCCTTAAATTTTCCAGAAATATAATATAACACAATACATGATCACCTG